TGCAGCTTCCGCCGCCGCCACGACGAGCCATGGTTGATGTGTAACTGGGGAGGAGATGGATGGATCGATCAGGTGGAGAGCTTTGCTCGGCGAAGCGTGCGAGGGTACATATAGCAGAGGCAGGAAGGGTCTTGCCATGGCTCCTCGGTGTTGTTGTCGGCTTGTTCTTGTCGATGCGAAGCTCCTCGCGATCATCAAAGCTATGTGCTCTTTCTTGTTGCCTGGCCATTGGAAGCGTCGACCGATGGGAGCAGGCTGCACGCCCGCACGTCGGCGGGTGGTGCACACGAGGTGTTTGTAGAAATGCCAAAGAAAGGGAGAAAGGAGGAAGAAGGAGAGCAACTAGTTAACGAGCGCTCCTTCGGGAGCCTCGAAACGATCAGCGTCATTTGGCGCGCTCTCAGCCATTTGCCACGTGTCGCGCTCTAGACGCTCCCTTCGGATTTTGTTTTTTTATTTTTCTGCACGTGTTTTCGGCTTTTTAAACGGTTTTTTCCTGGTTTTTCCGACGTTTTGATTTTCCCCCGGTCTTTCTTAGCTTTTCGATCAAAAAAAATTAAAAAAAAAGTTGGGCGAAAAAACGCGTTTTCTTTTTTTCCCTTTCGCGAAAGTCGCGGTTTTTCTTCCGCGAGAGGCACGGTTGTGCTTTAGCAAGAGTCACGGCCGTGCCTTTCGGAAACGAAAAAAACGCGTTTTTTGTTTTTTTTCCTTTTGCGAGAGTCACGGTTTTGCTTCCGCGAGAGGCACGGCCGTGCCTCTCGGAAAGGGAAAAAATACGCGTTTTTCTGTTTTTCTTTCTTTCGCGAGAGTCACGGTTTTGCTTTCGCGAGAGGCACGGTTGTGCTTTCGCGAGAGTCACGGCCGTGCCTCTCAAAAACGAAAAAAAACGCGTTTTCTGTTTTTTTTCCTTTCACGAGAGTCACAGTTTTGCTTCCACGAGAGGCACGGTTGTGATTTCACGAGAGGCACGGACGTGCCCCTTTCGGAAAGAGAAAAAAACCATGCTTCTGGTCCAGTTTTTTCGCCCGGTTTTTTTCATCCGGTTTTTTCGTGAAAAAAAAAGTTCGTCAAAACCTATCAACATGGGATCTAGTTTTGAAAATCTCGACGCGAGGAATCCAACGATGAAAACGGTTCGAGATTTGGACGCACAGTTTAAGAGATAAAACGTTTTGAATAAACGAATCTACGAAAAAAGGGAAAACTCCCAGGTTGCGACAAGTGGCGCGCTGCATGTGCGCCACTTGTCGCGACCTGGAAAAGTGGAGTGCTCTTTGCAACGAGTACTCCTTAGTTAGTGATTTCGAGGAAGAAGAGGGTTGACGTGTGGGCCTCACTTGTAATAACGGTCAAAGTTAACGGTCAATCTGACTTGTGGGCCCATCACGTCAGAAAGGCGTTTAGAAGAGGCAAATCGGGCATTTTCCCGACATGGTAGTTTTTAGTTACGGATTAGAAAAAAAAATGGTAGTTTTGGCATAAATTCGTAAGATGATAGTTTCTGGGCATGTTTGTATGAAATGTGGTAGTTTTTGGTTAATTTTTTTTTTGAGACAATTTTGGTTAAATACTCCTGCCAGCGCTTCCAGTTCCAGGCTTATTGCTGGGCCTAATTTCCATGGGCCGAGAACCTAGGCTGAGAGAGAGAGACAGAAAATTTCCTCTAAAAAAGAGGGGAAAAGGAAACGCACGAGCAGAGCTCGTCGTCTTGGGCGTGGCGGTGCTCTGCTCCATCGATCCCCACCCCACCCAAATCGGAGCCACGCTCGCCGGCGGGATCCTCCTCCACCACCGCCCTAATTCCTCCCTCCAAGCCTCCTCTCCATCCCGGACCTCCGCCACTGCGGAGTGGCTGGCCGGGGACTCTTGGCGCCGGAGACGGGAGCGGGGCATCGCCGGCGACCGGAGAGGAGAGTCGAGGGGAGGCTCGCGCTTCGGAAACGGTCGTCTTCGCCGTCGTCCCGGAGCCGTGGGCGCACGCGCGGCGGAGCTAGGGGAGGCCACGGCCAGGGGCCACTGCGGTAAGCGGGCGACTGTACTGACACACCACTGCAAATCTGAGGACTTGTACGGATAGCTGTAGGTATGTGTCTATAGGTTCTAGGGTTACAGGGGCGCAGGGGGAAGCTATTGCAATAAAAGAGAAATACTTAGTAAATTGATTTTGTGTGTGTTTTTAGACTTGTTGAGTTCGGTGGAATTGAGGTAGTTGGAAAGGTAAATCCAAGAAACACATGATAACTGTAGGTGACTTTCCAAATCTTTTGAAAATTGCCGTATTAAAGAACTTGAAGTTCGAGGAAAGCCCTGTAAATTTTGCGATACTTGTGGGTGACCTGCAAGAAAATATGTTTGCTAAGTGATACACATTTTTGCAGAGAAGTATTAATGTAGATTTATGTATTTGCACCACACCATGTAAAGATAGATTTTAACCAACCATGTAACTTCATTCTCATGAGAATAAAGTAAGGAGAACTCTAATTTCAGTAGTAAGTCCATTGTGATATAATATCCAGCAAAACTGGCCTACTTTAACAAAAACCGGGCTGCAAATGCTCTAGGATTGCTGTCACCAGACCATTCAATGTTCCATCAACCTTCCAAGTAGGGTGATCTGAAAAGTGAAACATATTTTAATGAATGAGGATCAACGAAATGCCTGTACAACAGAACTACTTTATTTAGAAATGATGATGTGAATTCTTCTCTAGGACAAACAGACAAAAGGGTAGAGGTAGCTATCATTCGAACTTACGTGTGTTGGAATCTTGTACAGAGTTCGGTTCCCCACGGTGTAATTGCCATGGATGAGCAGTTCATCCTCCGTGTGCCCCCTTCTGTGGCAGAGCAGATCGAGCGTCTTATGAACGAATCTGCTGCCGGCTCATCCTCCAACCCCGAGGATGCCTCCCTCGACCTCTCCTTCTCAGGTGACCCCCGCCTCTCTTCATCTTTGCCCCGCAAATTCTACTTCCCGTTTTCGCGGCAAATTGTTGTAGAGTGGTAGAACTGTGGATCTGAGGAGCAACCGAGACAGGGTATTTCTCAGAGAATACACTGAAACAGAGACGGACATTTGTTAGATAGTTTGCTGGCGGAGCAGCATGCCAGCATGCGGTTTGACGAACTCATGCGGTTTGACGAACTACTAACTGGTATTGGAGTACCCTGCCCTAGCGATATGCCGATATCTAGCACTACTGACTCTCATCATGGTACTCCCTCCGTCCCAAAATTCTTGTCTTAGATTTGTCTAAATACGGATGTATCAGGTCACGTTTTAGTATTAGGTACATCCGTATCTAGACAAATATAAGACAAGAATTTTGGGACGGAGGGAGTATATCGGTATGTGTTAAGTGTTCTTGGTAGTTTGGAGCGAACAGCCCATCGCTGGCCGGCCGGCGATTACACGCTTCATTGTGCTATCTCCTATCTGAAACATGAATAAAGTGAACCATGATTAGCACTGTATTTGTTGATGCCCTAGATTTGCACTGATAGGTTGGAATGTGTTCTTAGCAGATTAGTCTGTTGTAACTGTCTCATTAACACAATTCAAATGAGTGTTGCTCACGCAGATTAAATAGATAATTGAAGTATCACCATATCACAAAACTCCACACCTGTGTTGTTTCTTTGTAGCTCAACGGTTGCTGCATTCTAGATATTTATCTGCGGATGAGATGAGATCAGTTTGAAGATCTCACTTAACTGTTTTCTGTGTTTGTTTTCCCTTTTCCACAAGTTACTGGGATTGCATTTTTTGGCTCAGATGTGCTCAACTTGCCTTATTTATAACCAGTCTATATTGGCAACAAAAAAGAAACTTGGGTCAGTAAATATATGATTCTGAAAATCTTAGGCTTTTTCATAGTGGCATGCCAGGCTCTTACTAGACAACCTCTGTAGTTATACCCTTCAAATGCTGATAAATTAATTCATGCCAAACTTTAGATGTAGCATTGTGTAGGTGCATATTCAGTTTATGCGTTTCATTTCCTGAAATTACAACGCAATGGTCTCTCTTGGTTTTTGAGAATACAACTTACTATAGTAGTATATAATTGTTATCAGGACTGATCTTTACTTAATCTTTATCGCCTTCTGGTTGATGGTATTTTTCCTCCTACAGATGATGGAAGAAGTGGCACATTTATGATTGGTAACCAGAGCTTTCCTGCATCTCTCTTGGATCTCCCAACTGTTGTGGAGTCATATAAGACATATGATGATTCATTCTTAGTTAAAGCTGCTGATATTGGTCAGGTAAAAGTGAAGGTTTTCGTATATATCTCATTAATTTGTAGGCCTTATAATCATTTTAAACTGGAACAGATGGTAATGGTAAGAGAAGATGTTGATCCTGCTCCAGAAGAAGTTGAATACAAGCATGGACTTACTCCTCCAATGAGGGATGCACGTAGGCGACGTTATCGCAGAGAGCCTGACTTGAATGTATATATGAATTGACTACTCTTCAGCTATAGTTTTTTCATGTTGATTGAAATATACTGTTAATCAGGATGCTAAAGTTTGCATGCACTCATTTTTGCAGGCAGAGCTTGTTCACCGAGTTGAGAAGGATCTTATAAGTATTATGCATGGAGTGTCTGTCAGTATCCTTTTGGTCCGTGAGATATGCAAAATGTTTCACCTTATTGCAATGGAATAAATGGCAGTAATTTGTTTCTTTCTGTACTGTTTGGTTGGTAGTTTTGCACTTCCATTGTCTCATCATCAACTTCCTAATGCACAAACTGCTTGCCCTTCACTTTAGAAATCATTATGTCTATATGTACTTCCCTTGTTGATAAAGATAATGTTGTGAATCTCCTAATCATGCCATTATAGTGATTGCGTATAGATGTTTCCAAACCTAACCTTGTTAAAAGATCGATACTGACGTCATAGGTTTTGTATCATGATTGCATTGTGTTCATTGGTCAAACCATCATAGAAAGGAAATCTCGCCATTTGTATGCCAACCTGTCTACGTATAAACTTCTTTAACTTGTTTGTAGAAGGTGGTGAAGGTGGGGGTGGTGAAGGTGGTGACCGCAAGAAAGCTGCACCAGCTCCTGCACCCAAGCCAGACGCTCAAGAGCCTGCTGCAAATGGCGAAGAAGCTGAGCCTGAGAGGAGTGACTCTGACGATTCGGAGAACTGAAGTGGACCAGAATAGATACTGCAGCTGCCGTTGGCCGCGCAGTCTGGTGAATTAAGCGATTCAGATCAGAGAAAGTGTATTTTTACCAAGCAAGGGCGCTTGTTGTCTTTTTAGGACCTATTGGTTATCATCTGAATAATATTAGGAGTGTGCGACTTTGCACCATGGTGGAAGAGGTCATAAGGGTGATTGTAACTGCTGCTATTTCCTGAATTTTGCACTCCAGTTCGGTTACTTCCAACGACGAATTTGATGAGATATCACCATAATTTTAGTCTAGCCAATGCGCGAGAAGATATAGGGCAGCTCAGGGTGATATGCGAAGAATTTTTTCTTTTTTTTACACAAATGGTCCATCACTACTTTTGGTACAACTCTGATAGATTTGATTTATCTTTTGGAAATATTCTGATGTCTGCAATAGTAGCATGTGCATATAAGTAACCATTCTCCTGATTTACCAGTATGTGGAATCTCTGTTATCTCTATAAGTAAGTTCGTAACATTGCCCTGCGTATGTTTTTCTTGTATATTCATTGTACTTCTGAGCATGTTCTCTTATGTTTTAAGTTGTATTAAAAATCATGCAAATTTCTGTAGATAGTGTGGCTGTTTGTACCTCATCAGCGAATTGCTTTGCAAAATGATCTTGATTTGCACTCTTTCCTCCTATAGCCTTGTAGTGCTGCCATGAAGCAAAGCGGAACTAGGTGGTTGAAAAGTGCCTGCAGAGGCCAAGCTTTTCCACATCTCAAAAAAAAAATCTGAAAAAAGTGTTCATCTGGACATATATTTGTACTCACTCCGTTCGGAATTACTCGTCTAAGAAATGAATGTATCTAGATGTATTTTAGTTGTAGATACATCCATTTTTGTGACAAGTAATTCCGAACGGAGGTAGTAGTATGCATGTATAAAATTTTATGAACATATATAGTCATATGTGATGTACACAAAAACACAAATACACAGATTAAAATAGGTCTTTTCTTTGTTGTATTTGGGGTCAGATATTTGTCTTTCTTCTGTAGCATGCAAATAATTAAACTAGTTTTTTTTTGAACATCGGTACAGACGCAAGCGCTCATATACACGCGCATACACTCACCCCTATGAACGCACACACGCACACCCTACCCCTATAAGCACCTCCGAAAGACTGAACCGGCATATCATCTTGAGATTTACGAAGTCACCGTAGGCACTTTATCGTCTCCTCCCACTGAATGCGCATCGCCGGAAATAATTAAACTAGTTGATGAAATTTTATCATACTTGAAGAATATGCATATGTATTTGTAGAATTTTTTTTTTTTTTTTTTTTTTTGCAAAATGAGCTCCATGGTGAATGGAGTTGGGCCTTTGCAACGCCACACCTGCTAGGTGGTGCCTTATTTAAGGCGCCGACTATGGGCATCTTCCTCCTTTGCTTTTATTTTTATTTTTATTTTCTGCTGGTTCGTAAAAAAAATTCTGCTGGTTCGTATGTTGAATGTATGCATTGTCCATGCTTTGCCATCATGGTGTTGCAAAGACCGAGTTTAATTATGGTCTTAGGGTGATGCATTAACGAAATTGCCAATTATAGAAAATCACCATGCACTTTAGTAATGTTCTAGTCGCTCTATGATGCAAGAGGACATGGTTATTATTTGTGTGTAATGTCTTTAAGTTGATACGACATCAGATTAAGGAGCATGCAAATGATTGGTTCAAGGCCTCACTGTAGGAGAACATACATACTCACAAGTCATAAACATTTGGCAACTAGAGAAGAGTGATAAGAGATGTGTATTTATGAAGTGTTGATGCTTCTATATTTACTCTTGCTGGTACGGTATGGAGCACACAAAGGATTGGTTCGAGACCTAACTGCAGGAGAAGATATATACTCACAAGTGATAAACATTTGGGAACTAAAGAATAATGAGATATGGGTATTTATGAAGTGTTGGTGCTTCTCTATTTACTCCTGCTCTTGTAGGACACTAACCCTTTCTTTTTACCATAGCCCTAGCCCATCATTTTGTGGTTTTCTCAAATAAGAGCAAGCACCCCTAGCAAAAAAAAAAGCGTCCTTCCCGGTCTTCCACCGAGTCCATCCCATATATGCCTCGCTTCCCATCACAAGCCAAATGAAGAATCAGTTTAGGTTTGTGCGTGTCGGCTCCTCTTCTTTTCCTTGTAATAAAGTGGAACAAATTGAGAAACCATGTTCTCTCTCTTGTTAATTAGTTCATTAGTTTGGAATGGAAGGTAATGGGACGTGACAAGGTGTGGAACTAGCTCTTGCACGGAGGCGCATAGAGAGTCTATGTCAGTGTTATTTGAGTTGCACTGGCAGAGCACTTAGATTCACTTATCTTCTAACTCTAAGCACACCCGCAAAAAAAAACTCTAAGCACAACATCTTGGAAATAAAGGGCCTGCACATGCTGAGTATCTTGTGCTGGACGTGCTGGAGAATTGCCTGTATCGTGACTTTAACATAACTTATTTGGCTCTATGTTGCTATAAATTGCCAAGAAGATTGGCCATAGTCATTTAGTAAGGATATACTCCCTCCGCCCAGAATTATTTGACGCTCAAAAGGATGTATCTAGCACTGAAATACTTCTAGATACATTTGTTTGAGCGTCAACTAATTCTGAATTGAGAAAGTATCCATTTGAATTTGCTTGTGATACCATGCAAGCATTGCTACAGCTTAAGACCATGCTTTCTCTGACGGACAAAAAATCATATTGCACACTCGTCATCATGTTAATGTCGATGATGTGGGTCCATGGTTGATGGGTAACAGTTCGCCTACATAACAACATGATCTCTGATCAGCACCCACTAGAAACCCGTTTATGTCTATGACGTGTGCCTATCGCAAATGGTTTCTTGTTTATCTCATGTGTGATATCTCTATGTCGTAAAGGGTTTTTTCCAATTTGCCCATCCACATGTTCTTGAAACTTATGCATTTTTTATGTAGGAAAAAATCCAATGAAAATTGGTTTCCAAAATTGGTTGGTACCAAGATTTTGGTAATCCTCATGATTTTTGACCGATTATGTGGACATTTTACTTGATATATGAATAATTTATGGAAATAAAGGTATGAAGCATCTTCTTCCTTTTGTCTAGAGATGTGAACATTTTAACCTTTAGTCCCAAACAAGTTGGGGTAGGCTAGAGATGAAACTCATAAGATCTCACAACTAAATCATGGTTCTATCACATGGATAGCAAGCTTCCACACATCCCTTGTCCATGGCTAGTTCTCTGGTGATACTCCAGTCCTTCAGATCCCTCTTTACAGACTCCTCTCATGTCAAGTTCGGTCTATCCTGACCTCTCTTGACATTATCAGCACCCTTTAGCCTTTCGCTATGCACTGGCGCATCTGGAGGCCTGGATATGTCCAAACCTTCTTGGACGATGTTGAACAAGCTTCTCTTCAATCGGCGCTACCCCAACTCTATCTCGTATACATCATTCCGGACTTGGCCCTTTCTTGTGTGGCCACACATCCATCTCAACATGCGCATATCCGCCACACCTAATTGTTGAACATGTCGTCTTTTAGTTGGCCAACACTCAGCGTCATACAACATAGCAGGTCGAAAGGCCGTCCTATAAAACTTGCCTTTAACTATATTTTTAAAATAAAAAAATGAACTATAGGCGGTAAATGGGCCGGCAACCTAATTTGACTGAGATAAACACATATGCAACACCTAGGAAGGCCCTTGGTGTTGCACACCGGTGCAACACCTAGGATGGCCCAATCTTCTCCAAAAAAACCTGGGAAGGCCCAAGGGTTGGGTTGGGTTGTGTCAGGTGATGCACAAACAGACCGCACCTAGTCCACGCATCAATGCCACTACACTGTCGGTTGACGCTGACAGCACGAGAAGTTTGCCCAGCAAGCACACACGGGGTTATGAATGAGACGACCAGAAACCTGTGTCAGTTTGTATGGATCGATTGTCTGGCACGAGGAGGAGCAATTTGAGAAAATGTCACACTTTTACTGGGACTTTGCCGCATCTGTGGTGCCGCGCTGTGTTCGCCGGGAAAGAGGGATTTTACAAATCCTTTCAAATTATTGAGAATACTATTATATCCATTTGAATTTCCAACGCAAGTGCACCCACTAAAAATTTCTGCCCCCTTGCTCTCAAAGAAATTCCAATAGGCATCACCGAAGAGGATAGCGTGCCATCGTTCCACGAGGTCACAGGAGCGGCAACATCTTTAATGTCAGCTTCTAAGTTGTACTAGTGAGCAATATGCATGCAGAGCTTGCCTATGTAGTTTTTCTCTCGTACTCAAGGTGCCACACATTTTGATCTGCATCTTTCTCGAAATGTTCACGGTTTAAGTTTTAGCGGAACGCGAAATCAATGGGAAAGGCAACGGAAAGACACACTCATTTAACTTTAATAGGTGCACGGCAAAAATCTGTGATTGCCCATTATTGAAAACCACCCGTCACATTGAAAATGTTATGATATCTTTATGGTGCAAAAGGACATGGTTATATTTTCACATTAAGACGCATCCTAGGGTGAAGGGTATACACACATTCAAGACATGATTGCAGGAGAACATATACGCACAAACATTTGATAACTACAGGAGAATGACTACAGATGGGTATTTAACTATTTATAAAGTGATGTTGTTCTCTGTTTGCTCATGCTCTCTTACGATGCTAACTCCGTCCTTTACGGTATCCCACCATCTCCTTCACGGAGGTCTTTTTGTACAATCCATCTTATATATGCACCACTCCCACCATAAATAGAGACGAGGAATCAATTTAGGTTTAGAGTATTCTAGCTCCTCTCCTTCTCTACACAGCAAAGAGGAATGCATCGAGCAAATTGTTATTCTCAATCACTTGTTAGCATTACCTAGGCATGAGAGGTATTAGGAAGCGAGAAGGTGCAGAACAAAGCCTTCCACGAAGATGTCGTGAGTGTAGCCATTAATTTATAATGGCGTTATGCTTGAATACTCACGCATGTATACACTTGGCATGCCTTTCACGTACTATGTGCAGGTTGTCTTTCTACGACGACTGCAATTCTAGTGTTCACAAATTGACCCACCTTTTCAACAGCATTGATTTATCTGCTTTTGCTCTGTTTCCAAGTGCTACAGTGCTCTTCTAGCTACTTTGATGCAACTCTGGGTAGTTTAGTCGATTTGTAAATCTATCACAAAGATGAGTAGGATTATTTTTCATGTTGCTACTTCCTTTATTTGCATGTGTACTCATTAGATTGAAATTTTGTATGAGATGCATCGCATTGTGCAAAATTCTCACTTGTGCCATTTCTAGACATCCAAGGTTGGAATCTTAAAGTGTGGTAGTAAGAACTATATATAATTTTTTTCTACGATACTTTAGAGTCTTTCTATTATATTGTTGAATCTACATAGAATGGGTTAGTAGGTTCAAAAATTAAGTAGTCTAATTTAATTTCTCGTTTCATTACATCCACTTAATTTTAATCGGGTCAAAATAAAAAAAAACATGACAATTCTTGACCAAAGAATCCGTGCACAAGTGGCGCTCATGTTGCAAGTATACTGTCCTCTTGTAGGGCTTATACATGATTAGTTATCTAGATCCTTCTTTTACATGGTACAATCATACATGCTCACATGCACGCACAAACACTCATCCCTATGAACACATGCATGCACAACCTATTTTTATGAGTACCTCTGAGATACTGAGGAATCGCCATAGACACCTCGTAGTTGACGGAAACGTCTCCTCACACTGAACGAACATCGTTAAAAAGCCTGAAACAAATCCAAAAAAATGCGAGCACCAGTGTCAATTCTAGTACTTGATTCCTGATGGGTTGCTTCCACCACAAAGGAACCTAACCATCTAAACTACACTCAGTTCGCAGTTATCTTGATACCTGGCATATGCGGAAATCATCAAGCCCAGCAGAACCATCAATGACCAGTATGACTCACTAGCGTCTCATTCTAAGCCATTGAAATAATATGTTTACATCATGGTCGATGAAACACACATTCTTGAACTGCAGCATCTAGAGCCGCATTAACATAAGATGCACATTGTCAACATGTTTTGCTTCGAGGATATGTGATATTAAGTAATATGTTAAACTTATATTGTTATGTAATATTTTATTATTGATATATCATTAAGACTTATCCTTACAACATGTATGTTCAATGCATAATTTTTTTTAGCAAAAGGCACACATGGGTAATTTCAACTATTATTTATTTTAATCTTCAACGAGAATAACTATCTGCACCTAACTTTGTGTATGTGACCGGTGCTCCTAAATTCTCCATGTCATCAAATGTCTCTCTTTGTCACGTACTCCCTCTGTTCGGAATTACTTGTCTCGGATATGGATGTATCTAGAATTAAAATACATCTAGATACATCCATTTCTGCGACAAGTAATTCCGAACAGAAGGAGTACATTTTAAAGTTGAACCAGCACCTATGCACATTAACAGCCCCCATTCCCTTCCCATCGACTTTTTAAGAAGTTAATTTCCCACCATTGGTTGATTAGCAGTTATTCTGCTCTTTCTACTTTTCGCTTGCTATCTCGTTAACCTAGCCATAGAATGGGAAAGATAAGTACCAGAAGAGAGGTAACAACTATAAGGCATCTCATGTATGGGTTACTCATACTTTACATGGGGGAAGTAGATATTTAGATTTATATTGGAAAAATAGTTAGCGTCAACATATGAGTTGCACAAAGTTAATTTTACTTTACATCCGTCTGGCTGGCATAATGCCCACATAACCCTCAGAATTTTTGTGCATATGGTGAAAGTTGGGGATTCATGCACTTAATAAACCGGTGAATACTCATTGCAATAAAAAGTATGAAGGTCCACACAATTTGCATTGCCGAAATGCTTCTCACCTTATACAATATAACGCACACACATAATTTTGTAGTTGGCGCACCAGAATCACAACAGATTTTCCTTACAATATTTTTCAATCAACCTTGATGTACAAAATGGGTTGGTACCATATGTTGTTCTGATCTACTGAATTTTCTACTAGTTACACAGATACTTTTACTTGGTATATGAACAAATTAGAACATATGGAACATCGTTTTTCTTATCCTTTTGATTGACAACTAAGTCAGTGTTTGTACATACATAGGATAAACAGATCAAAATTACATCGTTTTCAATTGTATTGTTAATGTGCTATTAGCTTCACAGGACAAGACATGATCAAAATTTACGGCATAAGAAACTACATTCCATGACCCCACCAGAGTGCCCGACCATGCTGCTTGTCGACAAATACGGCTACTCTGATGAGCGAAGCCTCTACGATAACCAAGATGTAATTGCCACAAAGTACCATATAGTCGAACTAACAAATGCAAGGTACAATATTCATATGAATAGAGATGAAATGCATCAGATAGAAGCAAACAAAAGAAAACACAGGATAACTCGCAGCTGCAGACACAATTCAGGGCTCACTTATTTATCAAGTTCACCAAAGCTGTTCACAACAGCAGCAATTCTCAAAAACAACCGAACATAACGATGCATCACACTACGGTAGAAACATAGAAACGACCAGGACGACAGACACAGGCACCATTGGAGGACATATCAAAGACACAAGACCTGTGAACCCAACCCACAGAGAAGCCGCTCCATTGCCAGGCACTTACTGGCCACCACGGAGACGGAGCACCAAGTGAAGGGTGGACTCCTTCTGGATGTTATAGTCCGCCAGGGTGCGGCCATCCTCAAGCTGCTTACCAGCGAAGATCAGGCGCTGCTGGTCCGGGGGAATGCCCTCCTTGTCCTGGATTTTCGCCTTCACATTGTCGATGGTGTCAGAGGACTCAACCTCCAGGGTGATGGTCTTGCCGGTGAGGGTCTTGACAAAGATTTGCATGCCCCCACGAAGGCGGAGCACCAGGTGGAGGGTGGACTCCTTCTGGATGTTGTAGTCAGCCAGGGTGCGGCCATCCTCCAGCTGCTTGCCAGCAAAGATGAGACGTTGCTGGTCCGGAGGGATGCCTTCCTTGTCCTGGATCTTAGCCTTCACATTGTCAATTGTGTCCGAGGACTCGACCTCAAGTGTGATGGTCTTGCCGGTGAGGGTCTTCACAAAAATCTGCATCCCACCCCTGAGCCTGAGCACCAGGTGAAGGGTGGACTCCTTCTGGATGTTATAGTCCGCCAGGGTGCGGCCATCCTCAAGCTGCTTACCAGCGAAGATGAGACGCTGCTGGTCCGGGGGGATGCCCTCCTTGTCCTGGATCTTCGCCTTGACGTTGTCGATGGTGTCCGAGGACTCAACCTCCAGGGTGATGGTCTTGCCGGTGAGGGT